CTACTGCGATGATAAATACTATAAAAGTGAACAAATGAAAACGATTCCCGTAGGCTTCTCCAATTGTAAAGATAGGTAACTATTTTTAACTATAAGATGACGTGGATCCCTTATAAGTAACTGCAAAGTGTGTGTTACTCAGTGTGTTTACAGAGTGTGTTCTTTAGTGTGTTTCAGAGTGTGTTGTGTAGAGGTTGTCAGACTGTGCAGCTAGGGACAACATTTCTTGAGCACTTTTGACACTCGTATCAACTTCAAGCAGCGTTCATCAGTCTACTTCTGGTGCAGCTGTTGATTCTACTTCTGGTGCAGCTGTTGATTCTATTTCTGGTGCAGCTGTTGATTCTACTTCTGGTGCAGCTGTTGATTCTAGTTCTGGTGCAGCTGTTGATTCTACTTCTGGTGCAGCTGTTGATTCAATTTCTGGTGCAGCTGTTGATTCAATTTCTGGTGCAGCTTCTGGTGCAGCTGTTGATTCTAGTTCTGGTGCAGCTGTTGACTCTATTTCTGGTGCAGCTGTTGATTCTACTGTGGGGATGAGAGGGTGTGTGAGTGTGTGTTTGTGTGAGGTGCGGGTGTGTGAGTGTGTGTTTGTGTGAGGTGCGGCTGTGTGAGGTGTGGGTGCGTGTGAGGTGTGTGTGGTGTGTGTGGGGTGGGGGGGAGGAGGAGGTGTATGGTGCGAAGGGAAACATGGTGGTGAACTTGATACACCCCTTTACCCTTGTGTTCATTTGCCTTATATTTATTTATTTATCATCATTACCATCGTCACAGCCAACACATAATGTATACAGCCCGTTTCATGGGATCTCGTTGGTGTAATTAGTCTTTTATTGGGCCTTGTGTACACATCTCTGTCTGTTTCTACAATTATTCCAGTTTTTTACATACACACTGTTAGCCTTCAGTATACACCTGGAACAGTTCTCCTCTTAGGGAATCCGTTTCGCGAAAATTCGATTCTTCAGACTTTTTTTTTATTAATAAAAAATGTACACATGAATGATTTAATTCTGTAAAATACTACAGTACAGTTTATTATCATGTATTAGTAATGTAATTTGTAGTTTATGTAGTACTAATGTGTAGCATCACCACCGCCTCTCTCTTAACCAGGATCTCGCTAAAGGAGTCTTATTTAAGGGGGTTTGTTTAAAGGGTTCTTATTTAAGGGGGTTTGCTTAAAAGGGTCACTCACAAAATGCGTGAACCCCGACAATGTGAGACTAGGGAATCTGAAGCAACAAGCAGAGTTTCATTTATCTGGTAACAATGTGTGTGTGGGGGTGGGGGGGGGTGCAGGTTGTGTGGGAGTAACTGAGTTTTGTGCTTCATGCAGTTGTTATGAGTTGTTTCAGCATATTATGTACACCTGGAGATGGAAGAGGGTGATTATGATTGAGTCCAGTCTCAGGTAAACATGTAAACTACCAGGACAATACCCCCACGTAACTGTGCCCCTCATCCTCACTCCCCTTATGCCTTGCCGGCTCCTTCACCACCCATAGGATGATGTTATAGTATGTATTTTAGCTTTGTTGGATGGCGGTGTGCCCTCCAGCCACCCCTCACACACACCTCCAGCCACCCATAACAGCATTTACCCTGTATTACCACTAACTACCACACATGGTGAATTTAGTAATCCAATATGAACGTAAACAGCCAATTATTTGATAATGAAAAGGAGGGATATTTTCACGAATGGGGAAAAGAAAAAAAGTTTTACAAAATGATGTTTTTGTGAAATTGGTGACGTAACAATGTCAATAGCCAAAAACAATGCACCCGGGGTAATGTTAGCACCTCAGAAGTGAGACAGCTCAGCAGAAGGTCTTAGTCGTCGTCCATGTGAACACACGAAACCCAACTCGCTCTGAGAGGTCGTGAAGATTGTCCATAGTGGACAAATGGTAGTAGGTAGTGAAGGAAACACGACTAAGAGAAAGAGCTTTATTCCTGACGTTTCGCCACAAGACTTTTTCAAGGGAATGAACACACAATGCGGATTACTGCTATTTATACAATTATAATCCTCGGTACAAGGTAAAATGGAATGTATTTGAATATCACACAAATACATATAAATAATATGTATACAATGAGATTATAAAATTCCAATCCGCATTATTTGCTTATATATGCTATTGACAAACATTCATTTTTTGTAAAAGTCAAATATCTGGCTGACGTTCATACTGGAATACCGAATTCATTAAGTGTGGTAGTTAGTGGTAATCCTGGGTAAGTGTTGCCATGGGTGACTGGGGGGAAGCATGATTCAGGGCGAGGCTAGGTGTGTAACGTGACATAGGTGGCCCTACTAGACCAGTCATTTAGTGAGAGCTAAATGTATACAGCGACGGTAAAGGATCAACGTTGCTAGACAATGTGACGAGTAATTTGATGTCAAGTGATCTTATCAGTCAGATGGTGGCCGGTCACAGTGTACACCTGACATCTATATTCATTAGGGCAGAACATTATAATTAGGATTGTTAAACATTTAAGTCGTAAAGCTACCTACCTGTAAAATATGCTTTACAGTGACAATTAATGAGGATGTTCCGGTAAGATCATTTCCCGACATGTTACCCTTGTTTTACCACAAATAAGAAGAGCTATTTCACCTGCAAACTCTCTCTTGAGTAGCTGTCATCTGCCTTCTCTTTTCTACAATCACGTGGTTACTTAAATATTGTTCATTCATATTAATCATATAATATCTTTAATACAAGTGAAGGCCCATAATTCACCCCCCTCCATCACCATTTACCCACCATATGTCTGAAACAATATATGGCAACTACAGGTACCAATAAATCCCCTACCACCGCCACACACACATTGTTACCAGATAAGTGGATCACAGACTGTTGCTTTGAATTTCCTAGTCTCACAATCACGGGGTTCACATTTGTGGGCGAGTGTCGAACGGGAAAGGTCCGGGACTGCACTTGGGGGGAGCATAGTACTCAGATTACCATAGTCATTTGCAATGTAAAAAACCAAAAATCAACCAATGACATGTTGAAGAATCAGGGATATGAAACACAGAATTTATTATGTGCAATGCCTTTACCATAGAATATATATACATACAGATACAGGTACAGTACTTATCCAAATATTGGGTTGAACTATAAAGGTTTATGGAGAGACCCGGTTTATTACTGAGGATACACGGACGGCCAGCGTTGTATTGTGAAGGCACGGTTGACGTTCAGTTTGAGAGGTGTAGGGATAGGGGTGGGGGTGTAGGGGTGGGGGTGTGTAGGGGTGGGGGTGCAGTGGTGGGGGTGCAGGGTGGGGGTGCAGTGGTGGGGGGTGTGTGGTGGGGGTAGTGTGGGGGTGTAGTGGTGGGGTGGTGGTGGGGTAGGGGGTGGGGGAGGGTGTGGGGAGAGGGTAGGGGTGGGGGTGTAGGGGTGGGGTGAAGGGGGTAGGGGTGGGGGGTGTGTGGTGGGGTAGGGTGGGGTGTAGGGGTGGGGTGAGGGGTGAGGGAGGGTGTGTAGGGGTGGGGGTGGGGGTAGGGGGTGGGGGTGTAGGGGTGTAGGGGGGGAGGTGTAGGGGTGGGGGTGGGGTGTGGAGGGGTGTAGGGGTGGGGTGTAGGGGTGAGGGTGTAGGGGGTGGGGTGTAGGGGTGGGGGTGTAGGGTGGGGTGTAGGGGTAGGGGTGGGCTGTAGGGGTGGGCTGTAGGGGTAGGGGTGGGGTGTAGGAATGGGGGTGTAGGGGTGAGGGTTTTGTTGGATGGGGTTGTTAGGTAGAGGTTCATTATTTACGTACACTTGTTATTTTGGCTAAGATACACCCTCTCTCTCTCTCTCTCTCTCTCTCTCTCTCTCTCAGTCTGTGTTTTTATATGTCTGTCCGTGTCTCCGTGTATATGTATCACCATCTCAGCTTCTCTACCTGTGTGTGTGTGTGTGTGTGTGTGTGTGTAACTAGGAACACCACGTCAGGTTCAGGCTGCTAGACTGTGTGCTGTACACCTTAATGCTGCACAGAGTACCTTTTTGTAGTCCCTTAGTCCAGTGTGCTTAAATGTAATCGCTTTCAATGTGTACTGTAGCGTGGTAGATACAGGCATACGAATACAGTTGTCAGACCTGGTTACACTCATCATCATCCTCATCTAAATAATACATTGTATGTTTTAAACTGATTTATTTTATTTTGTTTTATTATCTTTTCATTTCGTCCCAAACTGGATAAATATTGACACACAGACCAATGTTATACCGCTTAGTTCTGTTACAACTTACTTACGGTGTGGGAGAGGCTGAGGAGGGAAAGGAGAAGGTGTAGGAGGAGGAGGAGGACTAAGGAAGGAAGGGAGGGAGGGAGGGAGGGAGGGGGAACTTTGCTATATAAATAATATACAACTGGTCTTGAACCTCTGTCTGTCCCTGAAGAAATAGTTCCATATTAATAGAGTTGACAGACAGTGGAAGATGAGATGCACAGGCTAAACTATTGCACTGTTCTGAATAACTACACATTTTGTATTCCTCAGCGGAGTCAGTGCCCGCGAGACACGGTGGCTCACGGGTTGTATGAAAGACCGTAGTGGAATTGTGACCCCGTGCCTGGCCAGGGATCATCACCGGAGCCCTGGTGTGACCCCGTGCCTGGCCAGGGATCATCACCGGAGCCCTGGTGTGACCCCGTGGCTGGCCAGGGATCATCACCGGAGCCTTGGTGTGACCCCGTGCCTGGCCAGGGAACACCACCGGAGCCCTGGTGTGACCCCGTGCCTAGCCAGTGATCATCACCGGAGCCTTGGTGTGACCCCGTGCCTGGCCAGGATCATCACTGGAGCCTTGGTGTGATCCCCTGCACCTGGCCAGGGATCATCACCGGAGCCCTGGTGTGACCGTGCCTAGCCAGTGATCATCACTGGAGCCTGGTGTGACCCTGTGGCTGGCCAGGGATCATCACGAGCCCTGGTGTGACCCCTGTGCCTAGCCAGTGATCATCACTGGAGCCCTGGACCCCGTGCCTAGCCAGTGATCATCACTGGAGCCCTGGTGTGACCCCTGTGCTCAGCCAGTGATCATCACCGGAGCCCTGGTGTGACCCCGTGCCTGGCCAGGAACACCACTGAGCCCTGGTGTGACCCCTGTAACCTGGCCAGGATCATCACCGAGCCTTGGTGTGACCCTGTGGCTGGCCAGGGATCATCACCGGAGCCCTGGTGTGACCCTATACCTGGCCAGGGATCATCACCGGAGCCCTGGTGTGACCCCCGTAACCTGGCCAGGGATCATCACCGGAGCCCTGGTGTGACCCTGTACCTGGCCAGGGATCATCACCGGAGCCCTGGTGTGACCCCGTACCTGGCCAGGGATCATCACCGGAGCCCTGGTGTGACCCCGTACCTGGCCAGGGATCATCACCGGAGCCCTGGTGTGACCCTGTACCTGGCCAGGGATCATCACCGGAGCCCTGGTGTGACCCTGTACTAGCTACGAACTTGATTCTAGGCACACTGTCACTCACTTGACGGCATGTGTGTGTGTGTGTGTGCTGCTGAATGTTCCAACACAGTTTGCTGGATTGTTTTTGCTGATTTGTTTATTTAGATGATGGGTGATACAGTGATAACATCTCTTCACAAAATATTCTTTTCACAACAGTTAGTGGAACTGTTAACACACAGTACAGTATATTCTCTGGACGTATTTGTCACTTTCTAAATTTTAATAAGGAATGGAACCTTAATCATACATTCTGCTACTAGTTCGTGGACAACAAAGTATGAGTGTAATATACGGTTTAGGATTTTTTAACAGACAAATTTACACATTACACAACAACAGTAATTACATTCATAACAATGGATGTAAGACATTCTTACATGGCGTCAGAAACGAAATAGTAACTACTAAATACAGTATATTCTGAATCACCAAACATGGCTAGGTAACAAAGTGTTCTTGCGCCGAGTGAACTTTATGATTATATGAACACTGAACACAAATATGTCTGTGTTAATGTGGCAAGGATTGTTTATTTTCTGCTACAATGAGTAACCATCGATTCACTTGCCTTTGTCGTGCCCTCCAGACCTCCATTCATGGAAGCCTGTAGGTCACGGCACTTCACGGAGAGTAAATGTGGGCGAAAGTGGACAGTGACCCTCACTGCTCCTACCAAAATGTTATATGCCAAGTTGACTAGTTCACTGTTCGTCTTTAGCATTCAAGGGACCTTGAACGACAGTGCAATCACATACGGCACTGTTTTGTTTGTCTCTTCAATCGTTTAGTTTAAGTTTTCTGGAGTTCCTCTGGTAGATGACACCGACCGTCTGAGACTTGCTGGGAGGATGTAAATGATGTGCCAGAAACGACCCCCATGCGTGTCTCGTCTGTATTAAGGGTCGTTCAGTACCACAGTCTGAATCTCTCTGATGTGCTGTGTGATGGTATTGGCAAATTTCAGATTGCGTTAGAAGGAGGTTGAAGAAGAAGGCTGTAGTACGAGAGAAAAATTTGGTCATATAAGGTGGCCGTTACTCTGCCATGTACCGGTACCTCAGTTGACAGGATAAACCCACTATTACTTAACCTTGCTATTAAGCCTCCAAATGACACTTGTGAGGTTTAAAGCAGCAGTCGTCTCTGTCGAACACGTTTAAATAAATACTTTTCCAAATATCTCCTTATCCTTGGGTCGATCACCTGGTGAGTGCGAGTCTTGTTACCAGGTAGATAAAGGAGTGTGTATGTTGGCACAGACTTGAGGGAAGTGTGTGTGAGGGACCAGGAAATTGTCCCGGGCACCAGCTTCACCTGACCAGTTGGTAAACCCCTCACCACTCGGCAGGCGCCGCCTCCACTCTCTCAGATGTCGACAGGTAGGTAGCCGTACAGCTTACCTCTCTTCGTGAGCGACCATCCTCGTCGTGTGTGTACTGCTTCTCTCATCCTCTACCTCAAGATATAACTTACGTCCATGATCTGAAAAAAGAAGGAAAACAACTTTAGCTTTTAGCATGATTTCCATTTTTTTTTATTGGGCACCCCCCTACATCCTGTGTAAGGTGAAGCGCAGAAGCGTTTACAGCGGCCAACAGGGAAGCATGCTAAGTTCATGCTTGCCTTTATGTCTCATGAGTTAAGGGCGTAGAAGCCTGAAGAGTCAATGGTTTTTAAGTCATCAAGTTATTGGAAGCTCCAACAACTTTTCCATCGGCCCGGGAATCGAACCCGTGACATCTCTCTTGCGAGGCAAGAGCGGTACCGTTTACCATCGGCGCCCCCCATGATTTGCATTATAAAAGTCAGAATTTAGATTAGTTAGCCAGTCTCATAAATAGGAAAACGAATTGACTTGAGTAAATCTAAGATATATAATATTTTATTATCTAATTTAAGATCTCCGGGTTTATTGGTTTTGATTTTTGCAGACGTAGATACAATTCATGTACTGCTACCGTGGTGGTCATCACATGCCACTCACATGATGTTCTGATTATATAAGGCAGAGTGGCTGTTCGCTGTGTATGGTTACAGACTTGAAGACAGAAAGCTGAAATGTGACTTGGAGATACACATGTCCCCCAAAGGATGTCGCGAAGGTGGATGTTCTGGGGATTGGCAGCAGTGGTCGGTCATAAGTGGAACCTCCTGATTAAAAACACTTTAATTTTTTTCTGTTTCCTTGCAATGCACGGCCACGGTTTTTAAGATACTGAACTGAAAATTGGTGCTTTAATGTAAATAGAGCCGATAAGGCTCACGAACGTCAAGTTGAGGGGATACCCCACCATAATGTGTCCCCCCTCCCGTGAACGACAACAGTGTTTAACACAGAGAACTGACATTTGGTGCTGCTATTTTTTTTTACATAAGACCTTCATTATGGCCAAGGACGGGCATAGGTTATGTGGCTGGTCCCATTTTGGTTAATTTTACTTCGTCAAAAACAAACCCTGGCAATGTCAGGTATATAAGCAAATATAGTATAATATAGACGATTGAATCATAAATAGTGAGGACAAGATTCCTCAAGTGTTGAACCCCTTACTGGACGAGCTTAGCGAGCATTACAGAAGGTGCGCCAAGACCACCACCTCAACCTCCTTCGTGTGCCCCCCCCCCCCACACACACACGTACGTCCACATCTGATCATGGTGTAGAAATCATTTTAAGTACCGATAAAGATTGCATTTGTTGATTACATTCAATGAAGCGTTCGTCTAGGTGCTTCGGGAGTTCCTTCAAGCTTTATAAACATCACACCTGGGTTATGCTCTTGAGTGTTAGTGATGTCGAGCGATATTTATGACATCTCAATCGTGTATATGAATATGTCCAGGTGCTGCCAAAATTGCCTGGACACTGTAATATTTGGTGTTATGTTATGGACCATATTATGTGATTATTAATACCCTGCAGTGAACGTTGATTTTCATTATAGATTGTCACAATAACAACAAAGAAATGTTATATTACAAAAAGATGCAGCAACAACAAATACAACAACAACAACAGCAAATACAACAACAACTGATTGACCTTGCATTATAGTCTCTATCTTCCTCTACCAAGTATTGTCAATAGTGTCCAGGGAATTTTGCTCATAACCGGACTATTGTATTAAACTCAGCGAGGAAAAGGTTACAGTGCTCGTCAGGTAGAGTCACCTACTAATACAATATGTAGACCATTACAAAAACTCTACTGTTGTGTCCTGACTCTACTGTTGTATGCTGACTCTACTGTTGTCCTGATGCTACTGTTGTGTCCTGAGTCTACTGTTGTGTCCTGACTCTACTGTTGTGTCCTGACTCTACTGTTGTGCCCTGACTCTACTGTGCGTGTCACCTACTCCACCAGCTCACTACTACACGTTAGTTGTGTCTACAGTAAACCTGACAGTAAGTTTGTTTTTAATGATCTATGGTCTTTGAAATATCTCCTATTGAGTTTATATTCATGCAACACGTCAGGTGATTTCTCTGACGCAGACACCAGACATTGATATAGCTCATCCCGTGTGCAGTCATTGTGTAGCGTCCTGACAGCTTATATACCTCGACTCTACCGCTTCCATTCTTCGCTGACGCCACACAACGATGCGGATAATTATGGAAACTTCCTATGTATATTTATCTATATTGATTAGATCGTTGAGACAGCACCACGATAAAGACCCAGCAACGTACCACAACAGCTTCCTCCTTCCCTTTTTCACTTACTACTTCCCGTGCTACAGTTTTTGGTTCCCGGAGTCTTGAAATTGCCCATTTTTTTCAATTTTGATGGATTTCAATTCATGTCGACTTATTATTAATTGGAGAACGACGTTAGTGTGGCTACCAACTAAACTACCCTCAACATGACACGACACGACACACGACGCGACACGAAACAACACAACACGACACACTGCAACACAACACAACACACTACTACTAGTTTGCTGTCACTCGGAATCAAGTATGACGATCATCCAGCTATGAAACAATGATATGAGTTATTAAGGATGTTACCTTCATTGGTGAGTTTTGAGGTGATTAAAGAGGCCGATACAGGACCGGCAGGGTTTATCACAGATGTTGCACATGTGGGGGGCTACATCTAGTGCGGGAGGGGCGGCGACAGCGTCTTTCCGGCGTTGGCGCTTGTCTGCCTCGTTATGTAGTCGGGCTAACTCGAAAGTATTGACACCTTCTTCTTCTTCTGTGGTGTTCCTCCAAGCATTACGGTGTGGAGTGATCGTCTCCCAGGTGAGGGGGTCGATTTGGCACTTTTTCAGGTGTGTCTTAAGACTTTCCTTATACCTTTTCAGTCGCCCGCCAGCGTTACGCTTACTATTCGTTAGGTGACTGTAAAGTAGCTGCTTTGGCAGTCTACTGTCGCCCATGCGGGTAACATGGCCAGTCCAGCGTAGTTGTTCATGGATAATGGTAGCCTCGATGCTCCTACAGTTGGTGTCAGCGAAAATACTGGCATTTGTTCTCTTGTCTTCCCAGCGAACTCGGAGGATGGAATGTAGACTACGCCGGTGTAAGTCTTCAAGTGCCTTGAGGTGCCCCCTGTATGTGACCCATGTCTCACTGCCATATAGCAGGGTGGGGAGGACCACTGCTCGATATACGTGTAACTTTGCAGATAATTTCAGCTCCCTACAGCTGAAGTCACGGTTTCGGAGTCTGCCAAAGGCTTGAGATGCACATCTGATCCGATGCTGAATCTCTTCATCGATGTCCGCGGTGGTGGACAGCTGGGAGCCGAGATACTGAAAGTGGGTAAAATTAGAGAGGGTAGTATCGTTAACCTGGATGGATGGTGGAGGTGTGTCTGAACCAGGGGCAGGTTGAACACGACACAACACAACACAACAGCAAACAAGACAACACAATAACACAACAGGTACTGGTGAGCTTTTCTCAACACCATGTTATCCATCTCATGACCTGACTGATACAATGTTTAACGAGCGAGAGGATTTTTTTTATCTACCAGTCTCACTTAACGCAATCAATGACCCTTCTTGGCCATCTTGGTTAAGTTAGGTTAGGCTTGGTCGGGGTGTTAGCTTAGGTAATGATAAGATAGCGCTGTCATGTAAGTCACCATAACACCTAACTCTTCTGATGGGGAAATGAAGGCTGTCGAATGCAGTACCACCAACATTCCCGCCTTGTTTATCCATGTTCAGTATCCAAAGTGCTGTATACGCGCTGCTTCTCGTGGGTCTTCAGGCTTATGGGATATTCTTTCCCTTCTCACTAACGGGAAGTCTTCGCACGTCAGATAGATATAAGCGGTTTTCATATTGTTTTCTTCAGGAAGCCACGTAAGGCCAGGTCGGTCACAGTACACATTAGCAGTGATCCGTTGCATGTGGCAGTGAATATGGGGAGAATAACACTTACGAGCTTAGATTCTAGCCATTAGTAGAGTTGGCAGAGGCACTTACCTGTTAGAGCTTAGAGTCTGGCCAGTAGGGGTAGTAGGAGAGGGAGGTAAGCTGGGAGGTGTTGGGTGTTTCTCCCTGGCGTCTTGAAGCCCCTAGTCCCGAGCCGTACCCTCCTCCGCCGCCGCCACCTGAGGGAGGAAAGTAGTGCGTGTTGTACTGCCCAGGTCCTGTGTGTGTCTTTGATAACGAATCTGTGGAAAAAATTACGTAGTCTCATACCGAACTGTGAACCCGTTGAAGTGAACCTTAAAACAAAAAGGGTTTCAACTAACCTAACCTCCTCAACCCAAGTGAATATTAGTGCATTATGCATTGAGTTTTAAGTCCCACAAATACATGATTAACATTTAGACAATCACACACTCACGGCCACCAGTACATAGCGCCATGATAACCTGTAAATGTTCAACCCTGAAGCAACATTGATGGAACACATGAGGACGAACGAATATCTACCACAGTAGGAAGGACAAGAAGTATAAAATTATAGCAGTGATGATGGAGGCGTGGCAGTCCTGTCCTCAGTAGTGATGATCAGTGAGAGTTCCCAGTAGTGACTTACCGAAGGAGGGCTGAAGGGGCGCCGTGGAGGGCGACCCTAGACTGCCACCTGACCCCAGGAAGCTGCTCGCCCCAAGCCCCGAGGCCAAGCTGGACCCCGAACCAGATGTCCACAGGGGAGGAGCTGACCCCAGGGAACCGGGGGTGGTGCCGGGGGAAGATATAGAGGGCGAGGAACCCCCCAGAAGTCCCCCGCTTAGGTGGCTGGGGAGACCTGATCCCAGAGCTCCTGCCGGGGAATTTAGCTCATTAGTGATCGTCTTAATCACAGGAAGGCCGAAGATTTTACACAATCGGTGACATAATAATGCAAATAACTGGTGTGATAAAACGACTAAAAGGACATAGAGTTTCATTTGAGATTCTACCATAACTGACTTCTCTTAACACATGGTTACAGGAAATGAATTATCGTATATTTTTTTATAGCTGAGATATGCCTGAGAGCAAGTTTGTTTGAGAACAGGTGGTCTGAGAGCAGGTGTGTGTGAGAGCAGGTGTATCTGAGTGCAGGTGTGTGTGAGAGCAGGTGTATCTGAGTGCAGGTGTGTCTGAGAGCAGGTGTATCTGAGTGCAGGTGTGTCTGAGAGCAGGTGTGTTTGAAAGCACGTCTGGTACCTGTCAACTGTGAGACAAAAGTTTATCCACATGTTCAAAATGTTTTTCACTATATTGTTGTCAATTGGAACCGCTTCCCTGAGCTTCTCCAAACGTTTTGATCTTCAAGAAAAAACTGGCCAAGTACTGGGAAGACCAACACTAAGGAGCTCCTGAATACGACGTAGAGTTTACATTTACGAAGTCTAGTTAAGTACTAATCACACCTTGTACAACATGGCCAGTTAATACCACTAATCATATGACCAGTGTAAAACTAATAATGGCCACTAACCACGTGACCATCACTCCGAGGCCATCAGCACTCAGCTGGCTATCCTGGATGACGCGGTGACCACCAGAGGGCAGATGGGTGACGTGGAACACACCAGAGAGCAGATTCGACATTTCATCCTTGACCACCGAAGGGTCATGACGTACTTGGCGCTGCTCTGGCAGAAGCCAGGCCTGTATTAGCCTCTATCACATTAATATTATATAAATATGGGCTAAGGTCGTATATTCATTATATATATTCTATCACCCAGACTATTGAGCATACAGCTACATAAGCATTTGTTCTGTCACACCTTCTCGGGCGTACAGCCCATAAATCTACAGAATTAACCCTCAGTGTGTGGTAGGCTGTTTAGATCAGGGGTGTCAAACTCATTTGCCAAGGCGGGCCAGATTTAATATGAGTACACAGTATGCGGGCCAAGTAACATAATTATGAGCACTTCGCAATCACCTCATAGGTGAGTAGTACGACAAAATAAGAAAGGTGGATTTAGTCTGCCCTCGTGCAAAACCCTTAAAAACAAACAAATCAAGTGTTTACTTACCTTGATCAATCTTATTGTTTGCTACTGCTGCTTCCTCATAATTGGCACCTCTTGGTATGGACCAGTGCATCAAAGTTTGGCACTAACGACTGAGCTGTAGCAACCTTCAGTATTGAATTAAGGTGCACACCAGTAAGTTGAGACCGAAGCCGAGACTTGTTCAAGTTCATCACAGAAAAGAGTTGTTCACAGACAGATGTACTTCCGAACATTGACATAATCTTTGAGACAAAACATTTAATCCTGGGATAATTTGGTCCAAAATATTGATAAAATGTGCCATCAACAACACTCGAAAATTTGTTCCTCAACACAGAATCACACTGGAGCTCATTGGTGATGTTGATTGAGTATATTGTTCTAGGAAACAGCGGACTAGTTTATTCAGCTGAGGGATACACTCACTATTTAGTTTTAGCTCCTCAAGGTGCGGCTGGAGCAGCAAATGGGCCGCGGGCCGCATGTAAGAGTGTGTCGGGCCGCATGTTCGACACCCCTGGTTTAGATAATGTCCGTGTTGAAGTGTGGTTTATCTCCAACCACCAGGCACCAGACTCAAGAGAGTACAGCACAGTTCTCACCAGCTCACAGCCCGGCACGATGCCTTAAAATAGTGTCGAGAGACATTACAACCCAATATAACTAGAAAATCACCACGTGTGTTTACATTAAACCAAGGAACAACAAGTGAAGAGAACAGTACCTGTGTGTCTTGTTTAACTTACTAGTTAAAATAATTACAAGTACAACCCAGGACAGCTGTGACGATTTCAACTCTCAACCAATCTAGGACTGTATCAAAGGTGACATGCCGTGAGGTTACCTGATATCTCACTCAGCTGCATCAAAGGTACCAGCGACTAACCTACTCTCGTTCAGGCAAGTGTTAACAAGTGAGATAGTTTGATATCATACCACAGCTAAAACAGGTCAACTGTTATGTTGGCCCATACCATTTCCCTCTCCCGAACCCTCCTCCCCACCGGAATATCAACAAGTTCTCGCCAGAAGTTACTATTTCATTTAGGAAAGGAATGGAACCAGTGTTGAATAGTGGTGAACAGTGCTTAAGTCAGTGAAAAACAACTCATCAGTAACAGATGAGTCGTACCCAAGCTAACCTTCACACAGTGAGGTCCCAGGTACCCAGTGATAACTGCCCCTGAGACTCAACAACACCAGCTATGTGTTAATCCGTCCACTATAGGGAGGCCTGGGACATCAGACAACGTGGCGTCCCCATGATGCTATGACACCACGTAATGAATGAGTTGCTACAGCATCATGTGAGGTTCCTCATAATACTATCTGTGAGGGAATTACTATACCACGTGAGGCCCCTCATAACACCATCTGCGATGGAATTACTACACCACGCCAGGTCCCTCATAACACCATCAGTGAGGGAATTACTACACCACATCAGGCCCCTCATAACACCATCTGTGAGGGAATTACTACACCACGCCAGGTCCCTCATAACACCATTTGTGAGGGAATTACTACACCATGTGAGGCCCCTCATAACACCTTCTGTGAGGGAATTACTACACCACATCAGGTCCCTCATAACACCATCTGTGAGGGAATTACACCACATGATGCCCCTCATAACACACCCATGAGGGAATTACTACACCACATCAGGCCCCTCATAACGCCATCTGTGAGGGAATTACTACACCACATCAGGCCCCTCCTAACGCCATCTGTGAGGGAATTACTACACCATGTCAAGCCCCTCATAACACCATCTGTGAGGTAACTACTACGAGGTTCCTCATAAAACCACCTGTGAGTGAGTTACTACACTACTGTCTGCTGTTTAACACCTCAGCGCACATGATCTACGTGACCTCCACTGTAAACATTAATCTGAATGTTCACTGTATGTTCCTTTACCGTTCTCAAATGAAGGCTTTTGTTAAACCACCAATGTATGTAATAAGTCATTTATGTCACATAAGAAAATAAGAATGGAGGAAACTGCAGCGGGCCTATTGATCCATACTGGGCAGTCCCATTTACACCCAACCCCTATTGCTCAATGTATATTTTCAGCCTTCGGGCTGCAGAACTTTTTCAATAAACCGTTAATCATTATTATTATTATTATTGGTGACGTGGTACTCACCTGAGGGCAGGTGGGTGACGTGAAACACACCAGAGGGCAGATTGGTGACGTGGTACTAACCTGAGAGCAGATGGGTGACGGGGTACTCACCTGAGGGTAGATGGCTGACACGGTACTCACCTGAGGGCAGATGGGTGACGTGGTACACACCTGAGGGCAGATGGGTGACACGGTACTCACCTGAGGGCAGATGGGTGACGTGGCACACACCTGAGGGCAGATGGGTGACGCAGTACCCACCTGAGGGCAGATGGGTGACGCGGTACTCACCTGACGGCAATGGTGCTGTACCGAGTGCCGCTGGCCCTAGAGACCCGCTCAGCTGCTGGTAACCTCCACTCAGCTGCATCTGTCCCTGCAGCTGCAAAATAGAAGTAGTGTTAGTGAAAAGTTGCTGCAGGTGTTGATAAGAACATAAGAATGGAGGAAACTGCAACGGGCCTATTGGCCCATACTGGGCAGTCCCATTTACACCCAACCCTTATCGCTCATATGTCCGTCCGGCCTATATTTGAAGCTGACCAGCGTGTTCGAGTTAAAAATGATGTTTGGTAACTTGTTCCACTCATCCACTACTCTATTTCCAAACCAATATTTACCTATCTCACGTCTAAATCTAAATTTGCTTATTTTAAAACCGATGCTACGAGTTCCCTCCTGGTTGGATAGTTTAAGTACCTTTGTTATTTCACCTTTGTTTAAACCTGACTTTCATTTACATACCTCGATCATATCGCCCCTCACTCTTACGTCTCTCGAGGGAGTGCAAATTCAGATGCTTTAATGTCTCTATACTCAAGGTTCCTAATACCCGGGATTAGTCTTGTCATCCTCCTGTAGTACTGTGACTAAAACAGAACCGCATAATCCAAGTGAGGTCTCACAATCGCAAGAGTAATTTTAGGATAACCTCGCTAGTCTTGTAATTTACACTCCTTTGAATTAACCCAAGTACTTTGTTAGCCTTGTTTCGAGCAAATACACATTGCTGTCTTGGTTTAAGATTCCTACTTAGCATTCCCCCTAAATCTTTATCACATTCGGATTTCTCTATATCAACGTTGTTCATCTGATACCTGGTTTCTCTGTTTACATCTCCTAGGCTAAGTATTTTGTATTTGTACACATTAATTTCATCTGCCGTTTTTCAGACCATGTGAAAAATTTGTTCACATCTTCCTGTAGTTTTGCGGAGTCCTCTTCAAATTTAAATACACGCCCTATTTTAGTGTCGTCAGCAAATTTACGTATGTTGCTGACTACGCCTATATCTATGACGTTTATGACTATAATAAATAGTGATGGTCCAAGTCCTGAGCTTTGGGGTACTCCACTAGTGACGTTACCCTAATCGGATTTAGTGCCAATAATGCTTATTATCTGTTTCCTGTCCTGTAACCACGCCCTAATCCAATTTAGAATATCTTTTCCAATTCCACGAACCTCCACTTTTCGTATTAGTCTTTCATGGGACGACTCTGTCGAAGGCTTTGCTAAAGTCGAGGTAAACCACATCATAATCGTGTCTGTCATCCACTGATTTAAAATTATTGCTTAGAGTAATTTGCCTACAATTGAGGTAAAACTAACTGGATGGTAGTTTGAGGATATTGATCTATCTCCCTTCTTGAAAATCGGTATCACTTTCGCTATACTCAACGATTCTGGTACTACACCGGTTTTTAATGACATGATAAAAAAGTTTGCTACGGGTATACTGAGTTCTTCTTTACTTTCCTTTAATACTCTGGATGGAAAATATCTGTTTGTTTACTAACATCGTTGCTATTGGCTATTATCTGGCTTAATCTATATTCCTCACTCTCTTTGTATATAGTCGGTGCCTCGGGTGTCATGTTTAAATTTTCGGTGGTGAAAATTTATGAAAAACATCTGTTCAGATTATTTTTCATTCCTCCTTCGTTACCAGTTAGCTTGCTGGTACCTGACTGCATTGTTCCAGTCTTGTCTCGTGTTTTAGTTTGATACATTTGGAAGAATCCCTTGGGGTTTGACTTCGCCTCTCTTGTTACCTTCAGTTCATTATTCCTCTTTGCTTTTCTTATTTCGGTCTTAACCCTATTGGTCAATACTCTATAATAATCTCTGAGGTAAACGTCAATAACGTTCTTTAAATAATTATTTATACATTTGGGGTCATTGTTATTTGATCTGAGTTTTAAATTCAACGTGGACAAATGTAAAGTACTCAGTATAGGAGATGTAAACAGGGAAACCAGATACCAGATGAACAACGATGCCATTGAGAAATCCGACTGCGAGAGAAATTTAGGAGTAATGATAAGTAGGAACCTTAAGCCAAGTAAACAATGTGTTTTTGCTCGTAACAAGGCTAATAAAGTACTTGGGTTCATACAAAGGAGTGTTAGTTACAAGACTAGCGAGGTCATCCTAAAACTGTATCTTGCGCTTGTGAGACCACACCTGGATTACGCAGTTCAGTTCTGGTCACCGTATTACAGGATGGATATAGAATCATTGGAAAGAATTCAGAGGAGAATGACAAGACTAATCCCGGGCATTAGGAACCTTGAGTATAGAGACAGGTTAAAGCATCTTAATTTGCACTCCCTCGAGAGATGTACAGTAGAGCGAGGGGCGACCTGATAGAGGTGTATAAGTGGAAGTCATTGCTAAACAAAGGGGACATTACAAAGGTACTCAAACTATCCAACCAGGAGCGAACTCGTAGCAATGGTTTCAAATAAGACAAATTTATATTTAGGCGTGAAATAGGTAAACACTGGTTTGAAAACAGAGTAGTGGATGAATGGAACAAGTTACCAAATATCATCATTAACTCGAATACGCTGAATAGCTTCAAACATAGGTTGGATGCTTATATGAGCAATAGGGGTTGGGTGTAAACGGGACTGCCCAGTATGGGCCAATAGACCCGCTGCAGTTTCCTCCATTCTTATGTTCTTGTGTTCTTATGTTCTGTATGGTATGTTCTGCCTTTGTGCGTTAAGTAGCTCATTATTTAAATTGTCATGGAACTCGTCAACATATCTCGTGGCCAGGCCAACCTCAGTGGTCATATTTTATGAGGTTATTGTTGTCAGGTTACCTGGTAAAGTGAGGTCACCCTCTGTGGGTACATAAGTCATGTTATTTATACCCTCTCGTGATGTCATGTAATTCACCCCCAAACGTAATACCCTTCTCTCAGCTGCCCTTTCAACCTATCAAAGTTTGCCCTTTTTAAATAAGAACAAAAAACATAAGAATGAAGGAAACTGCAGCAGGCCTATTGGCAACTGACATTTAGTTCTACTTTGAATTTCACTTCTTTGTGATCACTGTTAGCTAGTTCGTTCCCCACGTCGACAGGACTAATGAGGTTAACTCTGTTGACAAAACTAAATCTAGTATACTATTTCCCCGGCTATATGTTGACTTAGGAAACAGTCCTGAACTGTTTTAAGAAAATTCTCTGATTCTGAGTTACCCGAAAGGTCGGTCCAATCTATTTTACTAAAGTTAAGGTCGCCCAGATACAGACTTTGCTATGTCTGGACGCCCTGCATATATCATCCCCTATAAGTTGCTCATTAGCCCTATCGAAGATGTTGATAGTGATTTGTTACCGCAGGTGTTGTTAGTGACATGTTACCGGAGGTGTTGTTAGTGACATGTTACCGCAGGTGTTGTTAGTGACATGTTACCGCAGGTGTTGTTAGTGACGTGTTACCGCAGGTGTTGTTAGTGACATGTTACTGCAGGTGTTGTTAGTGACATGTTACCGCAGGTGTTGTTAGTGACATGTTACCGCAGGTGTTGTTAGTGACATGTTGCCGCAGGTGTTGTTAGTGACATGTTACCGCAGGTGTTGTTAGTGACATGTTGCCGCAGGTGTTGTTAGTGACATGTTGCCGCAGGTGTTGTAAGTGACATGTTACCGCAGATGTTGTTAGTGACATGTTACCGCAGATGTTGTAAGTGACATGTTACCGCAGGTGTTGTTAGTGACGTTGCCGCAGGTGTTGTTAGTGACGTTACAGGTGTTGTTAGTAATATGTTGCCGCAGGTTTTGTTAGTGACATGTTACCGCAGATGTTGTTAGTGACATGCTACCGCAGATGTTGTTATCGTTGCCGCATGTTGTTAGTGACAGGTGTTGTTACCGCAGGTGTTGTTACATGTTACCGCAGGTGTTGTTAGTGAGGTGTTGACATGTTACCGCAGGTGTTGTTAGTGACATGTTACCGCAGGTGTTGTTAGTGACATGTTACCGCAGGTGTTGTTAGTGACATGTTACCGCAGGTGTTGTTAGTGACATGTTACTGCAGGTGTTGTTAGTGACATGTTACCGCAGGTGTTGTTAGTGACATGTTACCGCAGGTGTTGTTAATGACATGTTACCGCAGGTGATGTTAGTGACATGTTGCCGTAGGTGTTGTTAGTAACCTGTTGCCGTAGGTGGTGTTAGTAACATGTTACCGCAGGTGTTGTTAGTAACATGTTACCGCAGGTGTTGCTAGTAACATGTTGCCGTAGGTGTTGTTAGTGATTTGTTACCGTAGATGTTGTTAGTGATATGTTGCCGCAGGTGTTGTTAGTGACATGTTGCCGCAGGTGTTGTTAGTAACATGTTACCGCAGGTGTTGCTAGTAACATGTTGCCGCAGGTGTTGTTAGTAACATGTTGCCGCAGGTGTTGTTAGTAACATGTTGCAGCAGGTGTTGTTAGCCTCGGTGACATTCTCTCATGCCAGGTGTTTATGATGACTCGTGTGTGTGTGTGTGTGTCTTACCTGGTTCATCTGGGGGTAGGTGTAGGAATGGGGTGTATGGCCGCGGGGGTTCTGGGTGTAGCCCCCGATCTGTCCTCCCTGCATCTGGCTCAGCCCCCAGGTGCCGCTCCTGTAAGATACAACACACGTTAGTCTGGACCCCAGGAGGAGGAGGTGGAGGAGGAGGTGACAGAGAAGGAGGAGGACTATGACCGTCATTTTTATGTCTGTGTAAAGATGTGTGTGTTTGGATGTGTCTGTTTCTGTGAATGGGTAAACAATTCTGTGCGCGTATGTGAACGTGTATAAATTTTGCCGTGTTTCCCTTTGTGTGTGTGTGTGTGTGTGTGTGTGTGTGTGTTTTCAGCTGTGGACATGAACTGGTCAGGTGTTGGCGTGGGTACAAGTGCACAGGTGGGTGAGATTGAATTCTTTTTTAACGCGCGTATGAGAGAATCGCTTCAAAGGATCCCCAAACTCTCATGTGACAGCGTGAAGGATCCTGAATGAACCAACTAGAGAGAGAGAGAGAGAGAGAGAGAGAGAGAGAGAGAGGTGGCCCCAGGAAGAAGAAAAATAAAATCAACTACAATCGGACAAAATCAAGATCGTGAAGTACTGTACGTGTCACCCGGTACTTAAGTCACTGTTGGCACTTGAGATATTACACTGCGGTCATTTTTATTTAGTTAGATTTCAAAAGTGAACCGCAAGCAGGTAATGGCAGGTGCACTCTAAGCCGTCGATTTGTTCAGTACCTGTGTGATATTGGCAGCCTGGGGTTAAGGTGTGTGTGTGTGTGTGTGTGTGTGTGTGTGTGTGTGTGTACAGGAGACCTTAGTACTAACTTGTGACTGTCTATGCATCCAGAAATCACTCGAGTCAATGTTAACTATACAGCTATAAGGTGACCTCTGAACAATGTAAAAACAAACATTTATCATTGGGTTAAGGATACAAACTCCTAGATCTTCTGTACCCCCCACACACACACGGTTCCAAAAAAAGTAGGTTGTTAACTGTGAACCTCCTAAGTGACTAGTTAAGGCTGTCATATTGATAATTATACACCCATGACAGACTTATTACGTGTGTTTCTGTAGTCTTAGCTTTTCACCCACGCTTAAAAAGAGACATAATATATCATAAGGGATCACCTGTCACGTAGCGTTTCTTTAACTCAAGTTTTCTAGAGTATCTTAGGTAACGCTTTTTCCCTGGGATGAGACGGCATATACCTCGCTCACTGGCCTGGTGGTAAGAACAGTGGGGGAAAAAAAAAACCCCGAACTTTCCTCAAATGTAGAAGTCGGCGACGTGTACATTGATCAAGTACACCACTCAGAGGAGGAGGAGACGGGGAGAGAGGAGGTAGAGAGCGAGAAAGGGGGAGGGGAGGTGAAAAGAGATTTAGATATAGAGTAAATTAAAGAGGGAGGTAGAAATGGTGAGTAAAAGTAAGAGGCGAGGGGAGAAGTGCTGACCCGCTATAATCAAGGGAGAAATAAGACATGTTAATTGGAGTTTCCACTTAGCCTGGGTGTACCTGAGTGGCTCCCGGCCAAGAAACACACTGGCGCCTCACTCCTCTTCTTAAATATCGTATTTTGAGATAATATTGTAGCTGATAATTAGTCTCACAGGAGAGAGTCATGACGGAGAAAACAGACGTGTTAAACGAGGCGAGGCACCAACATGGAGATGTATTTTACTGGTGATTTCCACGGGCGGGAAAAAGAGGCAGGAGTGAGTGTTTTACGAGGGGGAGCGTCGCGGCCTCACACCTCCCACGCTGCAACTGTCGGGCGTATTTTATGCAGGAGACATAAAATATATTCCTCATCGACTGTTACATATAGCGACCAGAGCCGCCTGCCACCGCCCGCACCTGCCCTGCTCGTCAACCCACACTACATTGGTTTGTTTGAAAGTTTCCCGTGCGATGATTGGCCGGCATTCACCTACAGCCAGTTCTGATTGGTTAATTCTTAACGTTCCCTTCTGATTACTGGTGGCATGTTGGACGCTCGCTTGCGGGTTGGAAGGGGTTCAATGCGACAATTGGATGCCACAGGATCTTCTCAACGATTTAGACGGAGATAAAATGTTGGCCTCTTTGAAGAAGTGGGTTTTAAAACTGTTTGGTGTGAGAGCAACACGACCACGGGATGACCATACTTACTGAGGGCTGGTTACCTCCAGACCACTGTACCACGCGCGATAAACGTCACTATTTACTGCCTCACCTTGCCCACCATAATGGTGGCAGTCATCAATAAAAATCCTATTTACATTTGCTTTATCTAGCTGCCCAGAGGATAGTGTTGGTGACCCGGTGAGCACCGCCTCGACACACAAGGGGGGGGGGGGGAACCCGGAGGGGACCCCCCTGCGGGTTTATCAACAACAGATCATGGTGTTGTTGTACTCGGCCTCTGTTTGTAAACTAACCTCAAAAAGTATTTACAAACTAAGGTTTCCCAGGGAATGTAAACTTGTTTGTAAGAAGCGAAAACGATTAGCATCTTCTCACGGCTCTGGCTGGCCAGTCAGTCATCATGTCTTGCCACACTGCTGACAAATACTCGGACACCACAGAGCTACCGCTGTCGAGACTAATTACGTCAATAAAGGTGCGTCGTGCGACACTCAGATACACCCTCGCATCACGACACACAAAAACAAACACAAGTCCAATACTCTGCTCAGGAACCAAACAAAACACCGCCTCAACAACAAACTCATATTGAGGGGGGGGAGTAAACTGAAACAAAACACACACATACAAATGGAGACTGAAGCAAACATGATAAATTAAGGGGGTGATAGTCCAGGGTCCAGTAGGCATTACAACAAATTGTCCTCCAAGCCACCCTCCCCTCCCCTGCCCCCTTCTCTGTCTCTGCTCTCTTTCTCCCTCATTTCTTTTCCTCCTTCCTGCCTCCTCCTTCCCTTCCTGCCCTCCCTCCTTGCCTCCTTACCTTCCCTGTCCCCCTCCTCCTCTGCTCCTCCTTCCCTTCCTGCCCCCCCCCTCCCTCGCCTCCCCCTGCCCTCCCTCCCTGCCTCCTTCCCTTCCTGCCTCCTTCCTCTTCCTCACTGCCACCCTTCCGTGCCACCCTCCTTCCTTCCCTCCCTCCCTGACGTTATGGGCACACAAGCCACCAGCCAGACCAAGAGCGGCTACGGCACACGTGCCCGCTGCTATTTGTGGCCACTGCCCCTGTCGTGTTGTGTGTGTGTGTGTGTGTGTGTAGGTGTGTGTGTGTGTGTGTGAGTGTAGGTGTAGGTGTGTGTGTGTGTGTGTGTGCGTGTGTGTGTGTGTGTGAATTGAATTTTTTGAATATTACCACGTACAGCGGCTAGTGTATTGTGCACTCCATACTCATCCTGTGAGCGGTAGCGCTAGAGGGTTACAGAGTAGACGTCACAAAGGGTGTGTGTAACTAACCCCCGTGGTCAGGATATTATGGCATTGAATGGTACAGAATATTTCAAATCCATTGTTTGTTTAGTTCCATACATAAAGGGTAACTTATTCTCAACTGCTTGAGTACAGGAGTGTGAGGCAGTATGTCTGGCCGCACACTTTGTTATTCACATTTCCGTGAGAGATATTCAAGCACATGGTGTGTTTGGTTCTATACATGGGAAATGATATAGCTACTAAGTGCAAAAAAGTGGATACAATCTTAACATGTCGGCTATCTTGCCATTAGAGATAACGTGTTGTGCCATTTCACACACACTGTGCTTGGACCTGTCCCTAAAAGGTTCTTTCTTCACACAGTCAAGGACGTAGTGTTTGAGTGTGTGGCAATATGTTTGATCAACCACTTTACATTTGATTTTGTTCATATCTGCTTGAGGGGTATACTGTTAGATGTATTTATAGGGGGTATTTTGTGTGAGTATGTTTGTGTGTGTGTGTGAGTAGGTGTGTGTGGGGGGTGTACATGTGTTTGCATGTGTGTGTGGGGGTTGTAATCTAGTTCAAGATTTTTCGAACACTGCTGGAGACAGCTGGCAACGCAAGGCCGTTTGTTTACTAAAGTGCGTATGAAAATTAAGAATGAATGTAAACGTGATCGGTGATTGGTTATTTAGTTTCCTGTTGCTTAATTAATGGTTGGGCTTTATTATAGTAAAGAAACGGACTTGAGTTGCCAGCTGTCTCCAGCAGTGTTCGAAGAATCTTGAACGAGATTGTACTTGTGTGTGTGTAGGGGGTATGAGTGTTGTGAAATGTATGTAAATATAATTATTTTTTATTGTGAACAATACGGTGTGGGAGGAGGAGGAGGTGTAGAACTGCAACGTACACTGTATGGAGGAGGAGGAGGTTTGTGCCTTGCGCTTGTGACACCTCACTTGGATTACCGCAGTTCATTTCTGGTCACCGTACTACAAAATGGATATCGAATCCCTAGAAAGCATTCAGAGGAGGATGACAAGACTGATCCCGGCCTGGGCATTAGGAACACTGAGTATAGAGACAGGTTAAAGCATCCGAATTTGTACTCCCTTGAGAGACATAGAGTGAGGGGCGATAAGATGGAGGTGTATAAATGGAGGTCAGGTTAAACAAAGGTGATATAACACAGGTACTTAAATTATCCATCCAGGAGCGAACTCGTAGCATTGGTTTTAAATTGGACAAATTTAGATTTAGGAGCGAAATAAGTAAACACGTGTTTGGAAATAGAGTAATGGATGAGTGGAACAAGTTACCAAACATCATCATTAACTCGAACACGCCGGGTAGCTTCAAACATAGGCTGGACGGATATATGAGCGATAGGGGTTGGGTGTCCAGTGTGGGCCAATGGGCCCGTTGCAGTTTCCTCCATTCTTATGTTCTTATATACGGAAGGGAGATGGAGATGCAGCTGTGTGGTGTATGTGGAAGAGGTGGTGGAGTGTGGGGTAGGTGAAGGTGTACCACGTGAACATTCCCACATGAATTTGTAAGTAAACAGCTAATATTCGGTCGAGAGACCGAGTAGTGTCCTGCGAATATATAATGGAAGCCCTTCGAAATCGAGGATGGCCGGCCCAAGGGCCACCTAGGCGTGAATTTGTTAAGGTGTAGAAACTGTCGCAAACACAACAACCACATCCTAAGTTAACGAG